ATGTATTATAAATGTTTCACTATCCGAAAAAAAGTAAAAATATGCGACAACTCTTGTTGACTGCCCGGACGATTTAGCTGCTGTGGGCCTATGTTTCATTGCCTGGCAACCTATCTTTTATTTTAACTTCTGGTTTCACGTATGGACTTTGTATATTTTTTCAAGTTCTGGCCTACTAGACTTTACTTGTCACCTACAGTGTCATTTTTATCGATAAATAGTCGATTTTAATGCGTCAATTCATTGTTAATATTTGAAAGCAAACAAATATAGTTTTACAAATTTTATAGGACGAATTTGTGACCTCCCTAAATTTGACCAAATAATTATGGAAGTGTGTAATTATTACGGATGAAAACGGACATGCGGGCGGGTCATGAGAAACAAACAATTAACTGTGGCCTTAATAAGAAATTAAATGAAATGGGATTTAACGTCCTACTGTTCTGCCCCTATGCTGGGCTAATGAAGACGGGCATACGTCATACAGTGTGCTATGAGGGAAATTTTCCCGGGCAGCGGCGCTATCGCCTACTCTTATATCGAATTCCAACTGCCAAGGGATCTTTTACATGCCTTCTAATGTATACACGGGACCAGGGCTTGCCACGAGACGCGAGTAATTACTCGCGCGCACGCTACGCTCGCGTAAAACCAAATTTACGTGAGTGATTAAGTACTCGCGCAAATATAAAAAATAATTTAATCAGAAATAATTGAATATCGTAATATAAAAAGCCGTAAACAATTTGTATGCCTTCATATTGATGCACTATTGCGCACGCGGCGTCTCTTTCCAGTGCCTGGATAATCAAACATTGAGCGGATGTTGTCGTTTCTATTAATAGCAATTCTTTCGATCCCGCATCTTTTCTGCAAATTGATGGGATTGAAATTGTTTTGCCTGTTCTTTTACCTTTCTAAGCTTTACCCGAATCCCCTCAGCACGCCAACGATGGCAAAGGGAAGCCCAGTTTCTCTTGCAACGTTCTTGTCATGGGAAGACGATTTACAGATAATATTACTGCCAAGGAAATAAAAGAGTATGCATTGTCATTGTGTGTGAAATAGCTTTATTCAACGTCTGCTTCCACCGAAGTGACAAGAGCATTGCCATTAGGCACATGAAATTTAAATGGCTACTCACGCACTTCATTCTGCGTGAGTAAATACATGTACTCGCCTCACTCGCGCAAGTCTATATTTGCGTGAGTAGTCATCTACTCGCCTCCAATTTGCTCGTGGCAAGCCCTGGGGACCCCGGTTTTTCGTTTCATCCGAAGGACTAGATAGCTGTTTTTGTCAGGCCCTCCATCCTGCATCACTGACAATCGGGAACCACGCTGGAAAATCTGGATGAACTTTCTCGGCCAATGCCGAAATGTTGTTTCAATTACGACCTTAATCTGGTTGATTGGCTGGTGACGTCACAGGCACTACACATAGTATATACATTATCTATACACAATATATCACTACCTGTACAGTATATCTCTGATATACACATCACGGTCCAATTAACACGTGACTGGCCTAATCATAATCACTGAATTATTGTCTTGTACTTTTATAGATTAGACTTTTTGTGATTGGAATATTTTTGAGTGAACTTAAAATGCTTTATCATGCCGTAGACCAATTTAAGCCCATGATGTCGTGTTGCCCAACACCATACATCCGGCGAATTTGTACATAGCCCATGATGTCATGTAGTCAAGCATCCCTCTTCCGGCTCTTGCAGTACACATCCGGTTACACCGAGTTGTAGAAATATCTTTCTCTTCCGGCACGTGTAATCACAGGATGTCACACTGCATCGAGGGGAGGGGGATTACAGAATAACTTGTTACGTCAGAAATTGCGTAACTAGTTAATTATGTACTTCATTATATAGCCGAGTCTGCCCCTTTTGCCAAATATTGTTATTAATAAAGTTATATAATTATAACCAGTCTTTCAGTTTTTGATTTCAAAAAATTAGGTTATTGTCTAACATCGTTGAACTTCTTTATAAAAAAAGTATTTAACAATTACATTCACACTTTAATAGCTCACCAAACGGCATCAGGAACATCAGTCACGATGATCACGTGTATTTGATATTCATGTCCATGAATCCCATGCAATTGTCGCTCCAAAATTTAAAGTCAGTTACTACGGCCGTAGTATGCATGACACCGTACACGGTAATAAGATTCCCAACGTTGATTGGCTGAGAAATGAGGGCGATCTATTGTTATGCATAGTCATTGAACAATTAAATATTCGCCGTGAATTTCAAATGGAGTTACGAATTGTCACACATGAACACTAGACGTTTCCTTGACCATGATTTCCCCCAAATCACTGCGGCGACGACTATAGGTTACAGTTCACGAAATGCAATAGAAATTTCAGTGTCGTCGAATACTTGTCCGCCATTTACAGCCGTTCGAGTTTCGAGTGAATCCGGGAACAAAACACTTCCACTGGTCGATAAGATGTTTAATAAACGTCTCTCTACGAATTCCCAAAGTTTTAAAAACTTTGCGTATCGAAATTCCACTCTTGAGTTCGGTATTAAATGTAAAAGCGGTAGTAAATGTAAAACGATAATAATGTAGACTTTAGCAGAATAAAGACTGAGAACTAATGAATTTTCACGGCGAGGAAACTAAGACAAATGCCAGGATGTGTGTATCAGCCAATCAGAAGGAAGACTGATGCCAGGATGGGTGTATCAGCCTCTCAAAGGCGAGTCTCGGTGCCGTGTATGAATATATACTTGGTAGATACTAATGAATATTAATTAGGTAATAACCTAATCTTATCACAAACGTTTATCTATCGAATAATTTATATTCAGATTTCGTATCAAGTCCATTAAATATTGTCCAAACGCCAATCAACAAATAATACGAGGCTACTTTATTACAAAAACATCGGTGAACAAATCTAATTGATTATTGGGTAAAAAATAATTATAAACAACTGATGAGTAATGTACGATTCAACGATTAGTTGTAGTGTGGAGAAATGTTTGCAGCAATGTTCCCCCGTAACTTGTGTCGTTTGTTCGTGGAGTTTTAACACGTTCTACCTAGAGTGATGTCTTTGATCTGGTGGGCTAATAATAACCTAATCAGCATTCTTAATCCAACATCTTTACTTGTAAATTAATTTATAACCCAATGTGTGTGCAAAGCTAATCATTATCTACATCGAGATGTAAATTAATTTACGGCCCCATGTCTGCAACTTTAGTCGGATTGATTAATGATAGATATTAACGACAGTACACTTTATCAATACACAAAGATGGTTAGATGACCGTTCTCAATCTCTTAATTCTAACGTATAATATTGAGATATTTTTTCGTATTTCATTTTTACGGTCGATCTCAGAGTAATGAAGTCAAATCCACATGCAGAAAGAAAGATGCCGTTTGATGACTACAGGAAATCAAGATACGGATCGTCATTAAAAAATCATGTTTCAGTCCGGTTTGACTTTAATGATTCATTTTGCATGACCACATCTTTTACTTCTGTACTCTTTTACTCGGGGAAATTAGAACCACAATACTCTTCTGACGGAAATATATTTCGAATCGTTTGGACTGCACACGATGGTAGAGTGGCTCTTATCAAAAAGTCACATTAAAACACAGTTTTAAAATCGCTGTCGTGAGAAGAGAGGGCGGGACATTATAAAACAAATTCTAAATAGGATCTTAAATTAAAATAAATTACAAAACAACTTATTCCGCAGTCGATTGTTTAATTTAATTAGGGGATTAAGGAATCACTCAAGCGTTAATGAATACACACGGCAGCTGTATATAGGTAATTAAGGAATAAACATTCCGAATGCATTCGGTCACTGTGACGTCACTGGCGTCTGAGGGGATTAAGAGTGTTTTCGATAATTGGCAAAGTCGTTTCTACGGGAGGTCTATTTTTGCAACTTTGAGTGAAGATAGCCGAATTAATTTCAATCAGATTGGTGTGAACTTGCCGTAAAGTGGATATAGTAACCATTGGCTACACGTATCTCAAAGTTTCCAGGCCCATCTAATGTGCACTTTAAAGTAACCAATCATATCGTTAATTGCACAGGTATTGTTATATATTATGCTGGTATACATGTATTCGGCTACATATATATAAAATGTAGAAGCGAACTGTTGCATTGTTATTCCTGGTAAGACAAACGTCTTAAGAAAATAGTAAGAAGTAAATACACAACGTGAAGCAGAAGTAAAGACAGCTAGAGACAAATTCTAGACGATCACAAGGCTACAGAAATATGTATTAAGAAAAGATGCATGGGTCGTATGTTAGATGTGGCGACCGGCCTGGAATCCTTGCTCTCCACATCGGACAGAAAGGCCCATGGTGCTACATATTCATACACAGTGTTTAAGGTCGTGAGACAAAGAAGAGTTATCACTCTTGATCACTTTGAAAAATCTTGTGGATGCTCTAGAGACCAAAGTTATTATCTGATTGATTTTATATTTATAAACTGTGTTTACGCCTATATATAATCGTTTCGATTGACTTTTGATTGATACACAGAGTTTAAGGTCTTGAGATGAATAAGTAAATTGATTTTCAATGATTTTTGGTAACTTGAACAGCTAAATCCATGGTATTAAATGTTTTGTATACTAAACGTTAGCATGGGCCAAACAAATTCTATTGATTTTCTAATAATTACTTAATGAGTTGTTACTCTTAATCAGATTTTAGTGTATTATAATTGTTTCATTACCAACAAAAGTAAAAATATGCGACGACTCATATTGAGTGCCTGTTCGACTTGGCTGCTGTGGGCGTATGTTTCATTGCCTGGCAGCCTATCTTTGTAATTTTCAAACGATTTTTATCAAATATCAAACGATGTTTTGAAAGTAAACTACATGTATTTGCTGGGGGATTAGATGAATGTTTTGACCCCTGACTGTTGGATTACATTTATCTAATTTCTACAATTTTTTTGTCTCTTTTATTTGAAGGTATTGGGTATGGTATGGTGGCAGTTACCTCCCTTGTTGGCCTTTATTACACAGTTATCATTGCTTGGGCTGTACTTTACATGTTTACATCCTTTGCAACAGAGTTACCGTGGGAACGCTGTCATAAACCATGGGCAACTTCAAGTAGGTTTTGTTGTTAAAAACTTGCATGTGTGTTATTTTGTTATGGAAAATCAAATGGCCTTTTAAATGGCTTTGTATAAAGTAATATATTGCCTCCAAAAGAGAAAATAGGTAAATAGAAATATTTGTTTTGGGTTGGAATTTATGAAAATTACTTATTCAAAGAATCCTATTTAAACATACATTATGCAAGAACTAAATGTGCCTATTGCAGGTCTTTCTTTAGGCCTGAAATGTTATTGTCCCCCGCCTTTCGAAGAAAGCAGGGGACTATTAAAATGGGTTCGTCCGTCTGTCTGTCTGTCCGTCACACTTTAGGTGTTTATTAGGTCAATGCCTTGATGGAGTTCGAAGATGAGCATTTTCTGCTTAGGGTAAGCAGAGATAAGCAATTTGATTGGTTGATGCTTTGGGACAAGATAACTTTAGTTCTAATTAAGTGAGAGTTCTTATTAAGTGTATAGTTCCATTACATCAATACATTGACTAAGTTCGATAATGAGCATTTTCTGCTCAGGGTAAGCAGAGCGATAAGCAATTTGATTGGCTGAAACTTTGGAACACAATAACTCTCCTTCTAATAGAGTTAGAATGTTCAATGCCTTGATGGAGTTCGAAGATGAGCATTTTCTGCTTAGGGTAAGCGGAGATAAGCAATTTGATTGGTTGATGCTATGGGACACGATAACTGTAGTTTTAATTAAAGGAGCTAAATCGCTAACATTTGGGACCTAGAAATTGACACAAGTGGGTCACAACTCATATAATACTGTAATATGAAAGTATATAAACTGATATACATTCAATGGTTTCCGTTTTTACTCTAATTTCAAATCAGTTATGTTCCGCGAAATAAGCCCGCAGTCTCAATCGAATGCAAATTTCTAGCGCCTGGTAATTCCAGTCTACATACGCCGTTTGGTTTGGTGCAATATGTCTAGCCTCGTTCCTCGAGTCTCTTGCTAGAACTGGGGCTGAAACGCATTATGGTACACGATTCTTGTACCAATGGCAAAATGTTTTTTTTGTCTAAAACATTGGATATCAGAAGCCCATCTTTTTCCGGTAAGATCACAGCATCAATGTTGATTTAAATTGACAAATAATTTGTGTTTTCAATATTGAAGATTTTGGATGATATTGAGTTAGAGACTTAGCTACTTTAAGTGAGAGTGATGAAACTTGGTGTATAGTTTCATTACATTAATACCTTGACCAAGTTTGATAATGAGCATTTTCTGCTCAGGGTAAGCAGAGCAATAAGCAATTTGATTGGTCGAGACTTTGGAACACAATAACTGTCACATTCTAATTGAGTTAGAATGTTCACACTTGGCGTAGGTTTCTATTACGTGAATGCCTTGATGGAGTTCAAAGATGAGAATTTTCTGCTTAGGTTAAGCAGAGATAAGCAATTTGATTGGTTGATGCTTTTGGACACGATAACTTTAGTTCTAATTAAGTGAGAGTGAGGACACTTGGTGTGTAGCTTTATTACATCAATACCTTGACTAAGGTCGATAATGAACATTTTCTGCTGAGGGTAAGTAGAGCGATAAGCAATTTGATTGGTTGAGACTTTGGAACACAATAACTCTCCTAATTTGAGGTAGAATGTTCAACTGTGACGTAGGTGTTCATTATGTGAATGCCTTGATGGAGTTCGAAGATGAGAATTTTCTGCGTAGGTTAAGCAGAGATAAGCAATTTTATTGGTTGATGCTTTGGGACACGATAACTTTAGTTCTAATTAAGTGAGAGAGGACACTTGGTGTATAGCTTTATTACATCAATACCTTGACTAAGGTCGATAATGAACATTTTCTGCTGAGGGTAAGTAGAGCGATAAGCAATTTGATTGATTGAGACTTTGGAACACAATAACTCTCCTAATTGAGGTAGAATGTTCAAATTTGTTGTAGGTGTTCATTATGTGAATGCCTTGATGGAGTTCGATGATGAACATTGTCTGCTTACGGTAAGCAGAGATACGCAATTTGATTTGTTGATGCTTTGGGGCACGATAACTTTAGTTATAATAAAGTCAGAGCGATGAAACTCCAAATATAGATTCATTATATCATTACCTTGACTAAGGTCCATGGTGAGAATTTTCTGCTTATTCTAAGGAGCGATAAGCAATTTGATTGTTCAAGACTTTGGAACATAACAACTCTGCTTTTAATTGAGGTAGAATGTTTAAACTTGATGTAGATGTTCATTAGGTTCAATGATTAACATTTCGAGCTGAAGCTAAATAGAACTGATCAATTTCGTTGGTTGATGATTTTGGACAATATAATCTTGATTCTATCTGATAGAGAGTGATGAAACTTAGTATATAGTTTGATTGCTTGATACTTTTGAAAAAAATAAATGTGTGATTAATTAATATGTGTCATCTGTTTATTTTGGGATTTCGGCGGGGGACATCAGCCTCACTGTTGGCTTGTCCACATTATTAATTAGACATTGATTAACTTATCCAGACCATAATCAACTCTCGATGTCAACGCTAGCCTGCGATGTTTATTGGATTAGGTTCCGATTTCCTGTTTGACTTCCATTCCTGATTTCATCATGAAATGGATAACCAAAACTATGTTTTTTATCATACAGACTTTAGTAATGATGATCGAGACTAGGCCGAAAATTCAATCGCTAAAATCTCAGTTCAGAGTGGATCAATTTGACTGAAATTTTCAGCAAATTCCCTTTACATTATCTAGTTTTTATACGCCTACATTTTCATGTGGATGTATATTGTGGTCACCCCTGTCCGTCCATCCGTCCACAATTGTTTTTGAACAGTCTACAGGTTACAATTTTTATCCGATTTCAATGATCTCGGTTCCTTTCGATATTGGCATGTATCGGACTGTAACTTCATGGATTATGGCCCCTGATTGTACGATGGGGGGTTGGATAGCCGAATGGTTAGCACATGCGCGCTGTATCATACGGCCTGTCATTGAGTCAACTGGCGTGGTTTCGAATCCCCGGTTGTACGTGACAAGGAGTATGGTCGCCTGTCCAACCTCGTGGGTTTTCTCCAGGTCCTCTGGTTTCCTCCCACTGCTAAAGACCCCTACGCGCAGGCGAATTATTGAAATAAAATTAAACCATATGTTAGTCCCGAAATGACCTAGTTTGTGTCGAGTAGACTTTAAACCCCATTTTTCTCTCTCTCTCTCTCTCTCTCTCTCTCTCTCTCTCTGATTGTACGAAAAATCACGTTTTTAGCTTGTGAACACTGTAGAGGTCACAATTTTTATCCGATTTGGTTTAAACTTGAAATGTAAGCTTATAACCCAATTTGTTTGTGGACACTCTACAGGTCACAATTCTTATCCGATTTTGACGAAACTTGAAATATAGGTTTATCTCCAAAAGATCTCGGCTGCTTTCGATATATTGGCATGTATCGGATCGAAACTTCATGGATTATGGCCCCTGTTTGTACGAAAAATCATGTTTTTAGCTTGTGGGCACTATAGAGGTCACAATTTTTATCCGATTTTGTTGAAACTTGAAATGTAAGTTGATAACCCAAAGATCTCGGTTCCTGTCGATATTCGCGCATATCGGACCTTAACTTCCTGAATTATGGCCCCTGGTTGTACGAAAAATCACGTTTTGAGTTTGTGGACACTATAGAGGTCACAATTTTTATCTGATTTTGTTGAAACTTGAAATGTAAGTTGATAACCCAAAAATCTCAGTTCCTTTCGATATTCGCGCATATCAGACCGTAACTTCCTGAATTATGGCCCCTGATTGTACGAAAAATCACGTTTTTAGCTTGTGGACCCTATACAGGTCATAATTTTTATCCGATTTAAAAAAACCTATTATTATATCACCGTTACACCCTAAGGATGACTGAGTTCGAATTTCGTGAAAATCGGCCCAAATTTGACAGACAAAATGGCCGCCGTTCTTTCTCAAATAGCGTCAAAATGTGGTATATCAAGGTTGTGGATCCTTTAGAGGTCACAATTTTTATCCGATTTTGTTGAAACTTGAAATGTAAGTTTGTATCCCAAAGATCTCAGATCCTTTCGATATTCGCGCAGATCGGACCGTAACTTCCTGAATTATGGCCTCTGATTGTACGAAAAATCTCGTTTTTAGCTTGTGGACCCTATAGAGGTCATAATTTTTATCCAATTTAAAAAAAACGTATTATTATATCACCGTTATACCCTAAGGACGGCTGAGTTCGAATTTCGTGAAAATCGGCCCAAAATTGACAGACAAAATGGCCGCTGTTCGTTCTCAAATAGCCTAAAAATATGGTATATCAAGGTTGTGGACCCTATAGAGGTCACAATTTTAATCCGATTTTGTTGAAACTTGAAATGTAAGTTTAAAACCCAAAGATCTCGGTTTCTTTTGATATTTGCACATATCGGACCGTACCTCCTGAATTATGGCCCCTGATTGTACGAAAAATTGCGTTTTTAGCTTGTGGACCCTATAGAGGTGATAATTTTTATACGATTTAAAAAAACGTATTATTATATCACCGTTAAACCCTAAGGACATCTGAGTTCCAATTTCATGAAAATCGGCTCAAAACTGACAGACAAAATGGCCGCGTTTCTTTCTCAAATAGCGTAAAAATATGGTATATCAAGGTTGTGACACTACAGAGGTCACAATTTTTATCCGATTTTGTTGAAACTTGAAATGTAAGTTTATAACCCAAATATCTCGGTTCCTTTCGATATTCGTGCATATCGGACAGTAACTTCCTGAATTATGGCCCCTAAGGTCGGCTGAGTTCGAATTTCGTGAAAATCGGCCCAAAACTGATAGTTAAAATGGCCGCCCCTTGTTCTCAAATAGCGTAAAAATATGGTATATCAAGGTTGTGGACCTTATAGAGGTCACAGTTTTTATCCGATTTTGTTGAAACTTGAAATGTAAGTTTATAACCCAAAGATCTTGGTTACTTTCGATATTTGCGCATATCGAATTGTAATTTCTGGAATTATGGCCCTTGATTGTAGGAAAAATCACTTTTTTTTAGCTTGTTCTCTATCCATCTCTCGAAAATGTGGGCGTATCCTGCCTGGCAGCCGCTGGTTAACTATTATGGTGAGAACTGCCAGCTCTTTATCTAATCTCCCATAATGTATCTGTAATCTTTTGTTAAAGGCTCGTTCTGAAATAACCATTATTTGTGTCAGAAATGATTAAATTACAAACCTTTTACAAGAAAATTATTAAAAAGGCTTATGATTCAATAGATTTGGTAATAAATATATTATTATTATTGTAATTATTTTTCCAGGGTGTTATTCATATAAAGATGCTGATGAATGTAAAGCTATAAATGGTTCAGTTTATTATGAACAAACATGTTATAATTCTACTGTGGCTATAGATAAAAATTTGTATAATTTGACTGCCAACTTTACAGATAAAACAGCTCCTGCACAAGATTTCTTCCAGTAAGTCACATTTAATTTAAAGTGAGAGTAAATCTATGCTGATCTTATTGATATTATCTAAATGGGGCTTATGTTGACCTTGCAACTGCAAGCAACAGGCGTTTCGGCGACTGGGAGCAACTGAAAGCAACTGAAAAAGGTCGACCTTGGCATCTCTTACAGCTCAAAGCAACTAGTTACAGTCAGTTGCACATTTTTGTGGATGTTCTAAGGGTTAAAATTAATACCTGATTGACATTAAATTTATACACAGTGTTTAATGTCATGAAACGATGAAGCCTATTAATTTTCAACGATTTCTGATAATTAGTGCCAGAGTTATGGCCCTTGATCCCTTTGAAAACTCTTGTGGAGGCTTAATTAGAAGCTCTAAAGTTAATATCCAATTGACTAAATTTATACACAGTGTTTAAGGTTAGGAGACGAACGGGCCTATTGCTTTACAACGATGTCTTGCATGCATAGTAACCTCAAACTTATTTCAATATATATGTAAGGTTAGATCAGAGTAATTTAGGGAATAAGATAGTCAGTTTCTTGAATATTGCATGTCTCTTTATCATTTAATCAGAGGACTAGCCATTATTCAGCTACATTGTCGAATAATTGTGATATTGAATGCATTAGAGAACACCCGCACCATTTAATAGGGTTATAATGTTAACCGAAAATAAAAAATGGTTGGAGTACCCAAGTTTAGATTTGTCGTTGATTTGTAATTAGGTTTTTAAATTGTTAAATACTGTTTAATTTAATATATTAGGGTCGAATTAGTACCAAATGATTTATTTATATGAGGGTAAAGGTTTGACTAAGCCTTGGAAATCGGAAGTTTTCCCTTGTCTATATCGTTTGATAATTGATAAAAATCGTTTGAAAATTACAAAAATGGTTTAGTTAGTACTATGGTTTAATTTAATGGTAAATCGTTTAATTTCTCCGAGAGGAGTTTAGAAATGGACGACCGTTCACTTATCTGCCGCGTTTATTAGATGGGCCTTTTAATTTCCTGCGATACATCTATAAATCAACACACAGTTAATTTATCTACTGTGTTTAACTATTAGATAAACCCTTTAATTTCCTGTGAGCCGTTTATCCGATTGGTTCATTTTGATTACTATTATTTACATATGAAGTATGAATAAAAAGGTGAATATAAAAAAAAAAATGCACACCCATAGATGCTCACCTTACCGTTGTCGTAAGTATTATTATACATTATTCATTAAAAATAGTAATTCCACCATTGACAAATACATCAAAAATCGATAAATCACGTCCCAGGTAATTATACAATTGAAAATCGATAAATCACATCCCAGGTATGATGTATCTTCATTAAATCACAAATGAATTAACGTTGTCTTTCACTTGTACACGTCACCAGAAGTCAACCTGGCAATGTAATATGGCAGGGCGATAATCTCGAGTGATTTTTGAACTGGCGCCAAAAAGCCACTATCTGTCCATCTCTATAGACAAGCTGTCGCCCATTTTCAGATAGGACTATCGGAATGAGTTCAATCAGTATCAACAGGATATATGCTTCAATGATTACTGCCTTGATGTTACGTAAACACTTGATTGATGGCAATAAAATAATGACTGCTGTACAACGATTTTTGTTATAGGATACCTAAATTAAATCATATTGCATAAATTCAAAGGTGATTTATCACAAATAATGCAGGTGGGAAGTCATAAAACAATAGCATTCGACCAATCATAGAATTAATCCATACTGTAATAACGGACATGTGTATTCAAAAGCATGGTTTCATGGCACCCAGACATGTGATCACAGGTGGGAATTAATAAAACAATAGCATTCAACCAATCAAATAATTAATCTATACTGTAATAACGGACATTTATGACTTCACTGTATATTTAAAAGAACATTCGGCGGACCAAATAGTGAATATTTCACAATGCAGTGTATGCACAGGCCCTTTCTGTAATTAATGTGTATGGGGATATAGATTAAGGGGATATAGATTAAGAGGAGTTTAATGACTAATATGATAATTGTAGTTAAAAGACGACTTTCACAACATAGAAGTTGTATTTCACAACATAGAAGTTGTATTTTCTTTAATTAATAAAACAATAACTCTGGCTTGGCCCTTCAACCATTGATTAAAACAATATTTTATTCAAATAAGATAGATATTGTATACATACACAGTGAAAAGGTAAGGATTCAAAAACAAACCAAGGGCAAATACAATTGTAATATGTACACTTCACTAAGGTTGCTGTGATACCCCGGGGATGGCGATATATCGCAATAATTTGGTCAGGCGATAAAATTATCGTCTGAAATCACTTTATCACAATATATCGCGATATTTTCATTTTTGATCAGAATTCACGTTAAATCCGTTCAAAATACTCCAAAAATGAAGAAGGAATCAAATTGTAACAAATGCCGATACTAGATCTATTCCAAATTCCACAACAGACTTTGAGACATCTGTTTTTAGGACCAACTGACCGACATTAGTCTCATGTAACAAGTACATTTCACTGAAGAATATTAATCGTTATCATACACGTGTTGGCTACGCTTTGATATAGTCTGGTCCCATATCCCCACGAAGAAAGCATGCACAATATTTATTACGATTGATATTATACGGTAAGGATACTCGTACTCGGAATGATACAGTTAAACTGCATGCGACAATATACGTCGCCATAGTAAAGAAGAGGTGATTTATTGTTGATTACCCAATCCGTTGAAAATTACATTGATATTTTACGTTGAAAAATCGTCTGGATAATATTTCTTTTATTCTTTGAATAAAAGGGCTTCCGAGCTTGAAACTGTCAATGCCAATCAGAATATTTTTGATGACAGTTTGGCAGACTGCGAAAACACACTGTTGCTGACAGGAAAAAAGGATATCTCTGTCACTCATATGAGGATATTTTAGTTTAAAAAGAACACCCGACAAGTCTGTTAACCATAAATTGAGTTAATGAATATTTATTTGGTATTCCGGGCATTCCAGCTGATCAGAATAGAATGATCTGAGGTGACAATACTTACAGGAATAATCTTACCACAGCATATATACATGTATATACGTCTCACTTCATCAGTACATCTCACATACCATACATTGCTAAATACCAAATGGATACACTAGATACATTAATCCATTTATACACCTCAAGTTATATCAATTTTATATCAGTAATTATCACGATATTGAATTTTTGAAGCATGATAATTCTAATTATCGCGATAATTTACTCCAGACGATAATCCATGATATTGCGATAATTTATTTTACCAATATCGTGAGATATTTTTTTTCTGTATCGTTGCAATTAACTTCACATACAAAATACATTTAACAGTACAGTATTTTCTGTTTACTATTACTCGTGCATGCAAGTAATTTAAGAGCCATTCCACGAGAAAACCATGCAATATCAGGCAGATGTTCGAAGGTGTGGGTCGGCCGATTAAGTTCATTCTCACAGGGTTTGGTCGACCCATCGAGCCTACTCCCCAGCCAAAATCACCGATTTCAGAAATCAGCTGTTTCCGAGATACAGGCCGATTACATTTTTCGGCTGATTTTTGTCATTTTTAGGCTGATTTTTGTCATTTTTAGGCCAAATTTTAGCTATTTTTGTCGCACTACTACCGCTGTTGCATGACCCTGGCGAACTAGGTTATGGTTGTTCGTTATAGTCGGGGGCTTACCCTAACACATTATCATGGTCACCCGGTTCAAGTTCATTTTCCATAGGTGTCAGGAGACTACACAAGATACGTGTCTGGAGATACCTGAAATGTACCCTATCTTCAGATCGCGATAACTCCACTGGAGCAGGGTTTGCAATAAAAATTAAAATCAATTTATTTACAGCTTGACCAGTTCTAACAATATAAGAAATAAAATCGTTGTCAACTAACTTGCAAAAGTATGAAAATTTGTGTCGAAAGTTACCAAAAACTTTAGTTTTGATTGGGATACATCGGCGGAATATTCAGGTACCCAATGGCCAATTCAAAGGGTCAATATATCAACTCCGACTCCCCTTCAACATCAGTGTGTGTGTTGATAAGACTCCCGAACTCTGACGTGTACAATGTGAACAGAATTGGACGAAGCACGCTTCCCTGGGGAACACCACATGGTAACAAAACCTCCTTTGAGAAAGAATCGCGAACTGAAATAAACTGTCTGCGACCTGTAAGGTACGAGACGAACCACAATAGCACACAGCCATCCAATCCAAAAGATGTCTGGAGGCGGTCTAGGAGAATTTGGTGGTCGATAGTGTCAAATGGGGCTGAAAGGTCGAGAAGAACCAACAGTCCAAGATTGCCATCATCCACCATCAGATTTATATCGTTTAAAACTCGATTTAACGCAGTTTCAGTTCCATGTGATTGGCGGTAAGCAGATTGGAATTTATGTAGCAGATCGTTTTCAAGCAGATGTTCCAACAGTCTCTTCTTGACTGCTTTGTCTTAGTACCTTCGAAAGGAATGGCAAATTTGAAACCGGTCGATAGTTTTTGAAAATGTTTTTATCAAGTGAAGGCTTCTTTATCAAGGGTTTTATGACAGCAACTTTAAAAGAGTCAGGAACAATACCAGATTGGAGGCTAGAATTGATTACTTTAGTTATCGCAGGAAGAAGGGTATCAGTACATTGCAATAAAATCTTTGTAGGAAAAGGACCCAACAAGCACCAGGTTGGTTTAGATTCCATCAAGAGTTTTAGCATCTCGGCCTCTGAGAATGGTTTAAAATGATCCAATTTTCTACCTGAGAAATATTTATCCTGCCCAGTTCCTTTTGAAGTTGTGGAGGTACCGATGTCATTTCTAATTTTGAAAATCTTATTCGAGAAGAATTCACTGAATTCATTTGCTAGACCAGCATCGTCAATATCCTTTATTTGTGGAAGAACGACATCTGAAGATTTTCCCAATAAAGTAGATAAAGTTGTGTACAAAGCTTTTGGGTC